CAAAAAATACTGACTCGGAAGAAGAAGATGGGTCGTTATCAAAAAATAGGATTGTTAGGTGTAACACGGACTTGAGAGAAGGAAAAGCACTCAAAAGGATCCAAACGATGAGGTTTGTTTCTGGGACGCTTTCAAGAGGACCAAACGTGTTAGAAACGATCATCAAAAAGGATTGGACGAAGAAGACTTACGACCTACGAGACGATATAATGGACGCAATCAAAAACATTCAATGGAACATACGAATGGTAAAACACGATAAAGAGTCAAAAAAGCTGATTCGAAATATCAAAGAACGGCAAAATGCGGTTATAGAATTAGTCGAAAACGAAAATCGATTTTTGAATAACATGAATTTACTGGAAAAGGTCTTGGAATTTTTAAAGAACTACGACAGCTGTTGTACATTTGAATTAGCGCGGAGGTTAATCAAACCCATAATCAACATCACAAAAATATTCAAAGACGAAGTCGACAAAGTGGTTGTGAAGGACGGTCAATACGGAAGAGGCATTTGCGCAATTTTCGATAATTATTTTATGAAGTTCAAGTGCTACTCTCCGTTTATCGATTTGTACAAACGACTGATGTCAGACTTCGTGGATAAAGTCACGGAAAGACCTGAAGGAAAAATAGCGAAGTACGCCGAGTCATTAAAAGTCGATAAACAAACGGATCTGGACTCTCTAAGCTCGATGCCATTTCAGCACATAATGAGATACCGAATTCAAGTTGAGAGAATAGTAGAAACCCTTCCGAAATACCATACGTTGTATACCGAATATGCCAAAATTCAGCCTGTAGTCAATGGAGTTATAGAAAGCATCAACAAAGAGTACAGCGACTTTGCAGAAGACGTTGAACTGATGGGAATTCTTTCGGGCAATCACTTTAAATTTGAGAAGTCGATATTTGGGCGAAAATTTGTGAAGATGGAAACCGTCGAGGTGCAGTTTAACAAATCGGACAGTGGAAAAAAGGCTGAAAAGGTCATGAAGAAAAAGATGAGTGCGATCGTTCTTACGGACGCACTTGTGTTAGTCAAAGAGAAGCTTGGCGAGACGTTAGAAGACATCAAAGCAAAAAAGAATTTTGAGATAGAGAATGTTTTGTATTTAGAAAATGTTTATCTGACACTGACAAGTACCAACGAAATTGAGTTGGTTGATCGAAAGAACAAACATTACATCATTAAAAACAATTCGAACAACCAACCCAATGAACTTTTCTCTGTGTTAGAAAAGAACAGAAATGATATCTGGAAGAAGTACACAACGTTCATTGAAAACGTTGTCGATGTATATAAACCTTATGAGGAGTTGGTGTTTCCTGGCTGTAGTTTCCATTGCACTGTCACGACCCAAAATAGCGCCCAACACATATTAATCAGTGGATTCTACCTGCGTATTTTTCAAACCATCGAATTGTGTGTTAAAAATAAAGATCCCAACACATCACTGAACCTATTTTTGGTTCATCCCACTTTGATAAAAACGGAGAAGAATTGGAAAATTGTGTTGCGGCACACCAATGAGACTGAACAGAGCGAAGCCGTCACTTTGGAATTTGAAAACGCAAACAACTCAGCGATCTGTTATAACATGATCTTTTACTCGAAGCACGAGTTTTTACTTTCCAACTCTCCTCCAATTCCAGTTGTCAAAGATCTTTCCGTGTTGCCATATTCACAAACATTGTGTGACTTTGCGAAGACGAATAATGGCAACGACAAGTGCATTAACTGTGGGAAGAAATCGGAGTTTGTCGATTCCTCGCTGGGCTTTTTCTGTTGTAAGTTATGTAAACAATTGCACCTCAAGAAGAATCCAACCAAGTCTTCTGAGAAGTTGATTCCCATCTCTTCTCTTAATCCCCACAACACTCTTTTCACTTCAATCAATTTACCTGGGCTTGTTTCAAAGGGAAACGACTTTATCAAAGCTTTCTACCCGATGTCCAGTATGTTTTAAATTGTAATATGTGGTTTAGTATAGTTTCTATTTGGTGCCTTGTGATGTGCTTTGTAACTGCAACCCAACAACTGAAAAAATTCAAATTACCCAAAGAGTTTGCCGTAGCATGTGAAGCAGTAAGGCTTTCCTCCATTTTGTTTGAACGAGTCTTCCGTGAGTGGGTTAATACAGAACGAACAGAGAAAATGTTCCGGGTGGAATTTCTGGCCCATCGCAGAGATCATACTCGTGCCAACAGCAATTGGCTTACCACACCTCCCGCACACATTTTGAGCATTTCCCCGCTTGTAGTGTTCTGCGCAGACGGGTTTGCCATCGAGATTATAAAACTGTCCACGAGGGAATGGTGCTTTACAAACATTGCAAACAAAGCTACGTCTTAATATTATTGGAAACTATTAAAAACTATTAAAATGGTAAAAATAGAACAAACCACTCGGGGTGATATTTCTGGCCAAGAGCTAACAATGAAGCACCAACAATGGCCTTCCCACAACCCGCACACTTCACTGCGCACTCTTCCTTGTAACATTGTTCGCAATAAGGGTTCCCGTCTTTCTGGAAAAATTGTGGCGAAGCAAATGGCGATTTACACTTTGTGCATACAAAGCACTCCGAATGGTATGTTTTCCCAAGCGCATTGACCATCCCAGCAGTAATTGGCTTTCCACACGTCGCGCACAGTTTTGCAAATTTGAGGACAAAACAGTTCTTACAGAATGGCTTGTTATCGACGTTGTGGAATGGATTAGTTCCTAATGGGCTTTTGCAATTGAAACACACAAAGTGCTCGGGGTGATAATTTCTTCCAAGCGCTGTGATTCGTTGAGGTCCAAGGGGTTGTCCACATTCGGCGCATTTGTTTGGGTCTTCGTCTACAATAGCTTGCAAAGGTACTGGTTCTCCCGTTGGCTTCTTAGGTACGTTGGTGTCAATTCCATCCAACAAGTCATCAAGGTCGTCCTTTGGTGCTGTTTTTACAGGCGGTTGTTGGTAATTATTGTTTTGCTTTGGTGCACCACCATCTAACCCGTCGAGTAAATCGTCCAAGTCGTCTTTTTTTGGCGCACTCTTTACAATGGGTTTCTCCACTGGTTTTGGGGCGACCGGCTTTTCTTCCAACCCATCCAATAAGTCGTCCAAGTCGTCTTTTGGGGCAGCTGGTTTGGGTTGAGTTTGTTGTGCTTGAACTGCTGGCTTTGGTTTTGGCACATCATTTAACCCATCAAGTAAATCGTCCAAATCATCTTTAGGTGGTTGGGGCTTTGGTTGTTGTTTTGGGGGTTCGACTTTTGGTTGGGCCTTTGGAACTGGAGCATCATTCAACCCATCGAGTAAGTCATCTAAGTCATCTTTTGGAGCTTGTGGTTTTGGGTGTTCTGCTTTTGGTTGAGGTTTTGTTTGTTGTGGTTTTGGAACGTCGTTAAGACCATCCAACAAATCGTCCAAGTCATCTTGTTTTTGTGGTTTTGCTGTGGGTTTTGCGTCCAAGGAACTCAAAAGATCATCTAAATTGTCTTCTTTCTTTTGCTCCTTCGGCTGCTTTTTCTCGACCATATCATTTAACGCATTCAAAACATCATCCAACTCATCTTGGTTTCCCGCTTTTTTGGCGGGCGCCGTGTCGTTCAAGGAATTTAACAGATCGTCTAAGTCGCTCATCTCGAGTTTAATTTTCGAGATGCTTTCAAATATTTTTGGTTTCAGACTGGGTGGATAGCAATAAACTCCAAGTGTATTTTTATAACAAAATGGTAGTAATATTTACGTATTCTTAGGCTAAAAATTCGGGTGATTAACACATTGTCCATTTCAAGTTCTTTTTTTGGTATTATGTGTTTTTAATATTATATAGTATTTTTTTACTATTACTATTTAGTATTGTTTTATTCTGATGAATTTATTATTAGTAAATATAATAATTACAACAAACTTATTGAATTTCAATCGTCTAACCACAATTAATTTGCAATGACTTATCACAATGAAATTTAATATTCTGTGGTATTAATTTCCATGAATTAATAGAAAACCATTTCCACTCTTCCAAAATAGTGGAAATGGTTTTAACAAGGTGTTTGGTTAAAAAAACTTGAATAAGAGAAAACTATCCTTGAAAACCGACTTTTTAACTATCAAATGTCTGTTTTTTATAACAGAAAAACAAAATTAGAAAGTCTTGTATATAAAACATGAAATTGAAAATGAAAAGACTCTGTGAGAAAACAAGAAACTCTATTACTTACAACCAAACAAATAACACAATTAATAAACAAAACACACTGCAATTAGCCCGTCAGACGTGTGGAAAGAGATAAGTTGTCTCGTTTCTTTTTTTGGTCTCCTCGATTTTTTTAATTAAGTTAATTTTGAACAATGCGGGGTCGCGGTATCTATTTGGCATCCCGTCATAGCAGAACGGGAGAACCGCACTGTAATCACCTACAATATTTATTTTGTGTTTCACGCTTTTCAGCTTCGGCTCAAAAAATGCGGGGTCGTTTGAAACACCCTTCATTATCTCTTTCCAACGATTCTCAAGCTCTTCCTCCCCGACATCAAGCCAATCCGGTCCAAACATGTGTTGTGCTGTTTTTGATGTTTTAAAAATCAGATGAGTCGCAACCCCGCGATACTTGTGGATAAGCCATTCCTGTCCCACAAACCTTTCTGTTTGATATGGTACGTTTACGACATGAATGAACCGCTCATCTTCTGAAACGAGTTTGACGTAATACAAATCTTTGTCGTAAAATTTAGCAATCTCCTGCGTCGAACTCCCAACAATGAAATTTCTCTCCATCAAACATTTTACAAGCACTGAGTCTTCATACCCTGATTCTGCTTCATCTCCGTTGAATGATGGAGAATTTAGAATGTGACAACAGAAATATCCAATTGTATCTCTATTATAAGGAAATTGGGACGTGTGTGAAATGTCATAGAAATTGAAAAAGCATTGTGTGATCATTGTCATGAACTTATTTCTCGCATCGGAGACTGTTCCGTTTGTTGTGTGTATCGCATACTTCGCGACAAACGCAAGGAAATCTGCCGCGTCGTAATTGGAAAATAGTTGTTGCAGCCGATTTGTTGTTTCAAATGTCTCATTAAGAATCCCCAAATAATTGCACCCATTTTCGTGCACAAAATTAAACTGGAACTGGGCTCGCACATTTTCCTTCAAATTATCTTTTGTTTTCAAAAAGAGAGTGATTGTTTGGTCGGTTGAATACGTGAAAGACTTGGGTGTCATATTTTCAACAAGTACCCCCGGCATGATTGCAACAATTCTCAGGTTATAAATTTTCTGTGATTTGATGACTCGTTCACAATCCGACGGAAAGTTCACAATCGAAAATTTGTCGTAAGCGCAAAAGTACCCGTTGGTGTCTTTGGAAAATACCTGAGCCAAGCACGTGCGCGGTGTAAGGTTAAATACAAATTGGTCGATAGTGGATGACGAATGGTAAAGATTATTTCGGAGTGATTGAATATCTTTTGGAAGAGCGAGTGGGTCTGAAGTGAAGATGACGATGTGAGTCAGTTCGGAGGCAAGTTCAGTGATCAGATTTGTCAAGTCGTTAGTAGGACTGATTTTTTGGTTCAAGATCCGTTCTGAAATAAAGGTGGCATTCATCAATCTCGACGAAAACGTGTGATGTCTGAGATTGACAAGTAGAGTGTCTGAGTGAGTTAGAATGATCTCTCGTGATGGATGCGGAATGACACAAAATGTATCTGAAGGTAATATGAGCAAGACATCTCTGTCAAATTGACTCAACATTGTCAAAAAGTAGTTTACATACGGCATGTGTTCGTTTATGGTATTGACCACTATGATCATTGGCACAGGTCCCTTGGAGTCTTTAAACTCTTTAGAAAGACCAGATTGAGTATTTTGAATTGTGTGAAGTGAAAACGAAGAATTAGTCTGTGAGAAGTTACACACTGGACAACTTAATGTGTACTTTGACTTACACGTTTGACACACCAAATATTGGGGAACGCCGATAATAGGGTGTGAGAATAGAGATGGTAAATTAATTGGAAGAAATGTGGGTAACGAAAACACGTCCTGAACGCGAGAAGATAAAGGCAAGCGGAGACGAGGAATTGGGTTGGTCATGCGATCTCAATTTTTTTGATCGAAGATCTCATGAAAACATTATAGTAATTAATAATAAAAAATAGAACTCAAATCAAGTTAAAAGATATAGATATTTATAGTAGTTTTAAAAATAATTATAATTACAAGTTGATTAAAAAAATTTTTTTTTTATCATAACATTTATTTGAAAAATAAAAATACAATAAAATGTTATTACCAAGTTAAAGTCAAAAAGACAAACAACTAGAAAAGTAAACAATAAAATGACAAAAATTAAAAATAGAAACATTTTTTTTAGAAGTTTTAAGTTTTTTTCAAACAAAATTTAATCGAACTATACATTAACTATATAACAACTATATAATTAGTATTTTAATTATTATTCAGACTCAAAGTGATTTGTGTCATCCCGATTTTACTTGAAAAACAAGTGCAACATTTCAATTAAAAAAAAAGAATTTCTCTTTTTTGAAGAACCCTA